TCTTCAAAATATTATGAATAAATGGAGGAAAGTAACAAATATTTCTAGTAAACGTAGGTGTTTACAGTTGGCTACCAAAAATACATTCAACAGTGTAAAAATGACACATTACTCAGTGTCCTCAAATAGTCTTTGACTATTTTTATCCTTTTTCCAGTCTTTTTATTAAAAAAGCCATACACTGTAGCCTCTCTCTCTGGTTTAATCATGTAGAGGAAGAAAGTAATTATTCTGAAGAATCTGGAAGGGTTAACATCTGATTATTAACAAAACAGCTCCAAACAAAAACCCCAAAACCCTCTGCAGGTCTGCACTTTTGCCACCACCATCCCCCATCCCCAAAAGTTACAGAGAACAGTCTGTTACAGTGGTTGTTACTGTGTCATAATAATGCATTATTTTATTTTCAGGAGTCTTAAAAATAAGTTTAAGCTATTTGCATTGTAACTTGATAAATGTCAGCGTGTTGTGGAAATGTCCATGATTGAGCTAAATGTAGACCGAATGAAAAGATTAAAGATCTCCATAGAGCAGCTTGCTTGCTGGGAATTATTTTTGCCTTTCCTATTCTGTGTATAAACCGAATTACCCAATATTTCACAAAGATTCTTATCTTTGGATATGCCCTTGGAATCATGTTTCCACAGCAACACAAAGCTACTGATAAAAAAACTCCCTTTTAAACTTCAAATCAGTCTTTTATTTAGAGTTGTAATTAGGATGTTTGCCGGTAGCATTGTGTATTTTGTGTGTGTGTGCTGAGAGCAGCCTGTCAAACAGCCACGAGGTGAATAATCCTCGAAATGTTGGAAGCACATCCCGCGGTGGGGAAGGAAGGCTGCAGGCAGCGGCAGAGGAGCAGCAGTTGTTTCTCAGTGAGGGACCGGCCCTGTGTGGGATGCAGGGACTGCCAGGAGCTGGCTCCTTTCCTGCCGCCAGCTGCGGCGTGCTCTCACTTGTTCCAGTTCTGCCCCAAATGAAACATGCGAGGAATAGGAATGGTGGAAGAACGTGCAGAGGCATTGTGGGCAGCAGGGGCTGAGCTTTGGCGCTCGGCCACACGTGCCTGGAGAGAGGAGAAAGCTTCCCGTGCCGCCGGGGAGCTCACGGGAGCGGGGCGCACGCAGCGCTGTGCCCGGAGCTGCCGCGCCTTTCTGCTCACCGCTCCTGGAGCAGCCCCGCCCTGGGCTCTGTGTGAGAAGGAAGTTGGTACCAGAGAGTAGAAGGATAAAAAACCGGCTTTAAAAGTTACGTGGTGCAACTTCTTGGGTTATAAATGCTCATTTGTTTATTTTATGCAGCTGTGCCTGATGTTTTACTTAGTCAAAAATGTATTATGTATTTACAAGATACTTAAAATCGGGAATGATAAACTCTGCTGCTGGGGCTTGTATTGATTTTCACACGATGTTGCAAAAGGGTCTAAATAACGGTGCCATTGCAGGTTGTCACAGGTTAGTAACTACAGCTTGAAACAGGAATAATGCTGTGGCTACAACAGTTGGGCAGTTGCAAAATCTATATGTAAATTTATCACATTACAGATAAATAGCACTCACAGCTCAATGGCTGCTTCAGCTTGTGAGGCTGCACATGATTGGCGTGGAAATAAATTTTCGCTTCTGAATATTTAAAGTGTTGGTTCTAGATTCATCGTAATGGGACAGTTCTGTGGGTGATGGTCAGTACATGTGCTTAACGATTAGAAACTAGAAGCTATAAACTGGCACTCTAAGAGTTCTTAATATGGGAACTGTTATTCCCACTTTACAAATTTTTGTCTTCTCTGGAAAGAAGTCAAGATAGTAGAAAGTTCCTGACTTCAGAAGGTGTCCCAGTTAACTGCTTCATTGCAAATATAACCAGTTGTTGTGAGGTTTAGTAGAAGCTGACAGCCCAGACAAATAGGTTACACTGTGCACACTGGGACAGCGCTGCCAGAATGCAAATAACCTAAATTTAGGATACACTGGGAGGCGGATGAGATGTGCTGGGGAGCTGATCCTGGTCGGACTGCAGGGGGAGCACGGGTGATCAGGAGTTGCAAATGAGATCAGTAATTGCGGCTGCGGCTGCAACCCGCAGAGCTGAGCTGCTGCACGGGCTGCAGGGAGATGCACCGGGGCTGCATTTGCACCTTCAGAGTGGTTTTGTTTGCAAATACTGGAATGCACACTATGAGCAGCATATTTCTTCAGCAGAGCTCTGGGGAGGAGTGTGTAAATCTGCTGCTGGTGGCAGGCAGTGAACGGCTGGAGGGAGGGAGAGCTTGGGAAATGGTTCGGTCTCCCTTACAAAGGACCCAGTTCTGTGAGCTTGAGGGGTCTCCTGCATAGTCAGTCAGTTATTTCGATAGGGCTTCATAGGCCAAATAGGGGTCTGGTTGTGGTCTGACTCTTCAATTCCACTGAAGTTTGGTCTAATATGTAGTTTTTACACTTTCCTATAGCACATGTCAAATCAAGAAGGCATTTTTTTAAGGGTCACAGAGTTTACTTAAGGCAATATGTGCTTTAAGGGCTGTGGCTGAGAATGTGAAATGGTATTAACTAGATAATACAGATTCTCAATGTACCTGCATTATGCATGACATTTAAAATATTATGCACCAGCAAGTGTACGTGACTGCTTGTATGATTAGCTTCTTGCTCATAGAAGTTGAGATAATCCCTCGGATGTTTAATCAAGTAACAGAAAGGCTTATATTTCAAAAAGTGTGACATCAGAAATAAATCCAGCATCCCCTTTAATGTTTCAGCTAGACAGTATTTCAGTGTTACTCCTCTCAGCTGAGGCAATGGAAGCTTAGCTGTGTTAGTGTGGGGAAAATACGATACAAACAGAAAGATGACTGTGTGGGGAGGGTACCCTAGAGAGGAAACTGATTGCATCTTTATTCCAAATACACAGCTGTTTTTCCTCAGTGAACCAGGTGTATTGCAGTTGAACCATCACTCTGTATAGCTGCTGCTGTCCAGTCCTTTGAAAGGACGTAAGATTCTGCATTGTGGCAGAAAAAATGCTCAGGTCAGTACAGAGGAGGAGGCAGGAGGTTTCTTTATAATGATGAAATGGCCCACAGGATTCTTTCCCAAATCCAGGTTGTTCGTGCTTCAAAGTTATTTCTGATTTTGTTTTCTGCTTGTGACCGACCTCACTGGTCTATTGTAAACACCACAGGTGATGAGCTAAGAAAATTACTGGAGGAATTTTTTTGGAGGCGATGCCAAGTTCCACTTACAGCACTTGGTTATTATCTATTTTGGGATGGAGGAGCTGCTAATGTGTTATCTATACATATGCAGTAGCAACAGTTGTAATGAATACTTGCTCAGCATGTGGCATTTCGAAGCTCCCCATGGAGCATTTGAGTTCAGTGTTTCTAGAGGCAAATAAATGGTGCTGTCTGTGGATCCAGGCCAGGGCTGGGGATGCAGACAGGTCAAAGGGATTGAGTGGGAAGATGGTGCAAAAAGGATATTGTTACAGTTACATGTGCATGTGCTGTATGAAGATCTTACTGATGACCCTAATTGACTGAAGTGTATGTCCATTTGAATAATGAAAGTGAGAAATTTTAAGCAGTTTTGCATCCAGTGATGACATTTTTATTTAATTGAATAATGAAAGTGAGAAATTTTAAACAGTTTTGCATCCAGTGATGACAGTACCATTTCAAAAACACCTTATTGCACCACATTTCTGCTTAGTTATCAAAGAGCCTTGATGTGGCCTCTGAGATCTCCTTTTCTAATTGGATCTTTGCATTTTATTCTGCTTTACCTAGTCACCAGATATCTGGACATCTCAGCAGAGTAAGGCACATTAAAAGTGTATCAAAGAAAGTTCTGGGACTCAATTATAGAAAACTGGTGGGGTGTAAAGCCTCCTTGGCTAGTATGATTATATTTTTAAATTAAATAGTTGAGGCTAACAGAAATGTGTATGGAATGTAGGCTTGATTATTTTTTAATTTCCTAATAATGCATTAGTGGGCTTGAGTAGGGACAAGAATCATACAAATACATCTAAATTCTAATTAATTAAATTACCATATGCTTCTAATCCAGTAGAAGATATTATAATGAGATGCTTTGTCATTTATATAAACAAGACCATAGAAAACATACTAAAACTTGTTAGAATTCATAGTCCAGATTTCAGAAAATTAGGTATGTTTTACTGAGACTTTTAATTAGACTCAGGCTGTGATATTCTTCATGAATGCGTAGGCACATTGAACAGAGCTACTCTTTATTGAGCCTGTTTATTGGTGTAGCTGGGAATGGAGTTCTGAGCTCCTGGAAAGTCATGTAAATGTAGGAGGCAGCGAGTTCCTTACCATGGGTGACAATCACTGTGATCCTCATTGTGCTTCCACTCCATGTGTGTACCTGGATACAGCTTTCTTTCCTCGGACTCTTGCAACTGAACTGGGAAAGGTGTTGTCAGAAATTCTCCATCCCTTTTGTTTTTCCGTGTCTGTTGCAGAGGTGCTGACAGTGTAGATGGATGAAAGCGTGAAAGAGTGTGACAACTGGTATTACTTGTGGGAGCTGGACACAGGATGTGGTATTCTGCTGTTTCAGAGATCATTTCTGGAGGTTTTTCTGCAGCCCGAAGTGAACGGGTTAACTCTAGATGAGCTTTCTCAAACTTCTGATGATTGCAGCATATAGAAAAAAAACATCAGACTCGGTTGTTGCACAGGCTGATAAAGAGGACAAATACCTTTTTCTGTGTGCAGTACGCACGAACCAGAGACTCCAAGTCAGCTGGGAGAGCCAATGGTTGTAGAGACCCAAATATGCTGGTGAAAGTACAACAGTGTTTTGTCAGTTCCCCAAACTAAAAGGCGTGTCACTGTCACCTCTCCCCATTTGATAAAAGTAAATGTAAACAAAATGTACCACCCCTGTATTAAATTAATTTACATTCTTTCTTTCTTAATTAAATTAATTTAATGTTCCTTGTAATTGATATTATTGATTCTCTTCTAGTTCTGCTTATGATAACGTCAACAAAGTTCGAGTTGCTATAAAGAAAATCAGTCCTTTTGAGCATCAGACATACTGCCAGAGAACTCTGAGAGAGATCAAGATCCTACTGCGCTTCAGGCATGAGAATATTATTGGAATAAATGACATTATCAGAGCTCCAACTATTGAACAGATGAAAGATGTGTATCCTTTCAAAGTGTTACTTGGCATCATTAGTAATGGTTGCCTCCTCTCTTTTGATTGTTTCTTCCCCTTCATCCTCTTCCTTCCTAAATATTAATAAAATATTAATAAATAATTTGGCTTCTATTATTGTAAATCAAAAGGGAAGTTAATAGTATTTGATCAGTTTATAGTTTTGATGTAGATGAGCACTAGTTTAATTCTTTCTTTTCCAGGAAAATATAATATCTTCTGTCTTCCAAGGCAAAGAACTCAACAGTGTAGAGAAGATTTCGTTTAGTCACATAATTATAAAACTGTATTTGCTCTTAGTAGAGCTGCTGTTAACAACTGGTTGCTTTGATGAGAAAATAAAATGGCCAGACTGCTATAATTGTCTCAAATTTTCTTGAATTAAGGGGGAAGAAAATTTTACTTAACTCATTCCTGTCAAAGCAAAAAAAAAACCCCAAAAAACAAATAAACATAAAACCACTTCTTTTAATTTTCATTGCAATGTTATTAAAAAAATAATCTGAATTACTATATTGGGATTTAATTTTGGTAAGAGAAGGATTGCTGTAGCATAATAAATATATATAGTAGAGAAGAACAGCCGAATTTTTAAAGTGGGTAGATGGTGAGGAAAATTGATCAGAAATGATGAGATCTACATTCCTGGTTTTATGCAATTGCAACCAAGTATCTTGGAAGCTTATTACTCATTAACCAAAAAAACACCCTTTGTTTCTTGGCAAGCAGGATAGGAATCAGATGAAATTAAGATTCCAATAAAAGTCAACTCTACTATGAAGAAATAGAGGTTTGTGATTATTAATTTGAGAGGATCACATGCTGGTGCCTCTTTATTCTGTAAAGGGCTGCATCGTGGAACAGGATTGATTGGATTCCAAACTTCTAAAGCAAGAATCAGCTAGATGATTTCATAATTGTCATCAAACAGACAAATAAGAGAGAAAAGATGTTCTAGAAGTTTCCTTGGGTACAGTACATTGATATCTGATGTGACACCAAGTTTTTTTGCTGCCTTACATCTAATACCTCGCAGATACATTGTGCAAGATCTTATGGAGACAGATCTTTACAAGCTCCTAAAGACTCAACACCTCAGCAACGACCACATTTGTTACTTCCTTTACCAGATTCTGAGAGGGTTAAAATATATCCATTCAGCCAATGTGCTTCACCGTGACCTCAAACCTTCAAACCTGCTGCTTAACACCACATGTGATCTCAAGGTGAGTTGAAATTTCTTACAGATTTTCCATGAATGTGGGGTTTTTACTGGGTATTAATTTGATTTTTGTCCTGGAAAGATTGCCAAAACATTATTTGGTTTGATAAAATAATTATCAAGATTTGAGTGACTAAGAATCTGTTGGACTGCTGTAATGAGTGCATCACTGTTTCCATCTGGAGGCTGACTTGGAAACAGCCTCTTTGAAAGCTGGGTGAAAATACTGATCTGAAGCAGCATCATATTTACCTCAAAAGTAAACTCAGAACTGTGTATGTTTCAAGATTTGATTTCTCTGTTTACACTGTTAATATTTTGTTGTTGGAAAAGGACTTCATATTAGTGGGCAGCTAAAGCAGCATCTGAGATTCAGTGCTGATTAAATGCATGGCAATTACTTAGGGAGGGAATGTTCCTAATTTGCATTTCCAGTGATCAGCTCTGTACTCGTTAATACTACAGAAGGATGAGCTTAGAGCTGTTATGATTCTTGGAAAATGTCAGCTCAGTACTTAGTGGCATTCAATAAAGCAAACCAAGTGTGAAGAAATAGAACAGAAATAGAGAATAAAACAGAAAACATGCCATTCTGTACCTTTCAGTTGGTTTTGAGTCGTCAGTGTGATCATAGTTATCACACTCTCCTGGTGATATGAGAAGAGCAGGATTTCAGGGTACTGCTCTCCATAACACAAAGAGCTATTTAGACTGGATTGCCTCTGCTGAGGAGTTGAGGAATCCAATAGAATTTGCCAACACCGATAATGTTGTCAGTGGCATAGGGATGGTGAGTAGGGAGCAGTTGTGTTCACTGTCCTTACCTATGGAAAAGGCTGGGAGGGAGGAAAGGAGCAGATGAAATTTACTTGCAGCTTGGTTAAGCTGTGGAATTTGGTATCACAGAGCACTGTAGATATTGCAGTTTTTAAAAAAACACCAAGCAAGTTAGCAGAAAAATACTCTTAATTGGGTGCTCCCTGAGGTTTAGAGTCCCACAGTGGCAGATCTGTGGAAGATGAGAGAGGCATTGGAATATGTTTCCCTTTTCACTGTACATCATGTACAGCTGCTGGCCACTGATGGAGTGGAATTGCTGAGTTTACAGTGCTTGCTCCCAGGTGGTGCAACTGTGTTTGTTGAATACTATGTTGCTCCTAATTACCCTTTGATTTTTAGTGTAGCTCTAACTTTCTCAATAAACAAACTACAAAACAAAAATACCCTCTTCAAAGTGAAGAAGTGAAGTGAACCAGTTGTGGGCTGTACAGGTTTGTCACAATTCCAAGAGTGTCACACAATTCCTTGCTGTTTGTATGCTTGTCCATTCTAAAGGCTGGCTACATGATCAATTCTGTCTACATAATGAAAATTCACAATTAATAAAACAACCAAGAATTGTTACCTACTGCAGCAGGCATGAAAAGAAGGTGATGAGAGAGGGATTTTTTTAAAGGAAAACTGCAAGTTAGTGTTTGTTTCATGATTTTACCAGTTGCTCAGGAGATGCAACTGTTTGAACCACCATCTTGTCAGTAGCAATTGAACTTGATGTCTCTGTTTCTTTTTACACAAATACACAGAGGCACAGGCTACTCAACAGTACAACTGCAGATATTTCAGTATATTAGTAGTACTGTTGGTGTCATTTCATTTGCCTAGTAAATGGTTGCATGTACATGATCCTCCTAAATCTTTCCATCTGCTTGATAGCTTCATCCAATTTTAAGCCATCTCTGTTTAAAAAACCCCTATAGTGATTGAAAGAACATTGTTTTCAAGAAGTGGAAGCTAAATATATAGATAGGATGCTGGTTCTATTTATTTAATTATTTATTTGTTTAAAATTTATTTAGCAGGGAAGTAATTTCTTCTGTCTCAGTAGCATTTGTTCTGTCTCTACAAGGCATGAAGCACTGACTGACATACCTGGCTCTTTCATGATGTAGTTTTTTATTCTCTGCCATGACTTAGTGAAAATGCCAAGAAAATTTGCCTGTTATTGTATTGCTCTCAGATTATTTATTTTATTTTTGTTACTGTTTTCGTTCACGTGGAGAAGCCTAAAAACCAATTCCTGGTGCTTTGCCTGCTACACATCATTTGTACAGGCACAGTGGCCCCACAGCCCCTCCAGCAGGGCAGCTGCTCTCTCTGTCCTGTCCTGTCTGCCCTCCCCAGCTGCAGCCAGAGCTGTGCCCTCCCTCACCCGGGGCTGCAGGCAGAGCCCTGGATCTCCAGCGTCCCTTTCACTCTGCTCTCACTCCTGTAAGCTCTGCAGCCAAAACCTCTTCCTTGCAGCTCAACCTTGAAGTCTCTCTCACTAATGGTGTTTCTGCTTTTCTGCTTAACCTGTTTCTGCTCCAGTCAGCAGGGGTTTTTTGTCATTTTAATGAGCTCTCTTTGTCATTATTCTTCCTTTCCATCCCATGAGCATTTTTCTACTTGAGTTGAGAGATTCAGAGACATCTGTAATTCAGTTCTTGCTTTTCACTGTGGACCAGAGAGTGTCTTTCTCCTTTTGTTTTAATAGTAACAAACCCTAGCACGTTGCTTTTGTGTAATACTGAAATTCTGCACAAGTCTCTTTGCCTGTAATCTTATCTAGCTTTTTCCGAGGTTAGGAGGAAGGGATTACAACAATTTTGCCTGCTGCATAATTATTTTCTGAAGTCTCTAAGCTGTTCTCTTACGGTTTCTTCATTTCTGTCTTTAGAGGAGGCTCTTCTGATTATTTCTACTGAGTCTCTTTATGTAAGCTAATTGCACACAAGGCAGCTGATCTGTTCCTGTAGCCTGAGAGAACCTTGCCATGCTTTAAAAAGGTTCTTTTTGGAATTGTTTTATAAGGATTCAGGGAGCTGGGTTTATTTTCTTAATATGTAGCTAAAGTAATGACATGCAGCTTGGCTTATGACATTCATCATTGCCTTTTCTTCAGACCCTCTGTGTAACAGTCAGCTGCTGAATCTTGTCTTTCAGATGTAGCTTTTAGTCAGATTAAGTATTTCTTCCCTAACTGATCTATCAGTTATTTCACTGACAGGCTGTCCCTACAGGAAAATTAAGAAATATCTGCCAGGGCAAAGTGAGGTTTCTGTGGTTTTGGTAGGATTTTCCATTACTGACTTTATTGACTACAGCCTATTTTCACTTCACATTTTCAGTATAATCACTGTACAGAATTAACTATCTAAGAGTAAATATTATAAAACAAATATAGCAGAGGAACCTCCCACTGTTTGCCACTCCTACATTTGATGCCTGGTTTTCCTGAGACTATGTATTCTTTCATGGAAATACACTTTGTGTGTCAATCATAACCTAGTATTTTTTGGGGGGCAGCAGAGCTTGTGAATGTGTCTAATGTACCACTCAACAACCTTGCCATTGACCTTTGGAATGGTAAGAAAGGAACAGCTGCTCTGCTCTACAACAGGCTGTCTTCACATTTTCAGTTTTTTTAATTTCTCTCTAGACACTAAATAGCTCTGAAAACCTTGGAGCCTCCTTACCAGAGTATAACTAAAAACACCTTTTTCTTTTTGCTGAACTTGCTAGTCTAAATCGGTGTTTGTTTTTCTTTTCATAGTTAGATAAAACTATTATCTTTATAAAGGGATTGAGAAATATTTTCTTTCTTGTGTTTTGTTTTTGGGGGAATTTTTTTTTGTCTTTTAGGCTTATGCTTCCTTCAGCAGCCCATAATCTCTCCAGTCTACCATTATCTCATGATTGGATAGGTTGTTTCTTTTGCAAAGATGCAATTATGATGATAGCTTTTGTAAAATCGTGTGTTGAACTTGGTTACATATGTGTTGGTTGATAATTATGTTTTCTGGAAGTCTTAATTGCTATTCTTTTTGGTTTTGATGAGTTTCTGAGAGGTTGGAGCAGTGTATGCTCCTGTTTGGCAAAGGTGCCGTAAGCAAGCTCGTAGTGGAACAGAAATTGTGAACTGCTTATTCTTACTGGCCCCTGAATGGCAGTTGGATATTCTTTGTAATTGATCCAAAACATTTTTCTTCACCTTTGCGCAATAACTTTTCTAAAATCTTAGGTTGCCATCTCTGCATTTGTGGGTGTTACATCATTGATTGGAGTGGTGAATTAATAATGTTATTGTATTGGAAATGTGTCTAATGTGCCTTTTTTTCTGTTTACTTCTCTACAACCAGATTTGTGACTTTGGATTGGCTCGCGTTGCAGATCCTGACCATGATCACACAGGATTCCTGACAGAGTATGTGGCCACACGTTGGTACAGGGCTCCTGAAATCATGCTGAATTCTAAGGTAAGGGCCACAGTGAGCTGCTGGGGTGCTGCTGTTGCTGCTTATTCTCTTGTGAATTCCAACTGTGCTGGGAACAGCAAGCCCTTGTGTGTTTTTATGATCAGAACGCACGCACAGTCTTGGGGAGAAGTGGGCATGGTTTTCAGTAGAGCTGCTGGCTTGAAATAAATTGTGATTTTAGGAGCAATTATTGGGTACTAGAACTGAAAATCACGTGCTTGACTTCCCACACCTCCAGTTCGTTTCCAGTCATGAGACTGCTTCCATCACCTGCTGTGCCATTGAGCAGCACAGGAGTGGTAGGAATGAGCATTTCACTGCCTCCATCAAGGCTGCAAATGTTGCCTTAATGTTATCTTGACATCTTAATTTAGGTTTAGAATGTATAATGAGGGTGAATCTGATTCTGAATGAAGGCACGTGATCCTTCATATCTGTCAGTCGTAATTGCATTCCCACAGTTTTCATGAAATAATTCCTTTGGTTTTTATATATTTGGAATTATTGTTGTGTTCTGTGGCTGTTTTAAGGTGCATTCAATCCTTGTGTGGGTGCTGGATGTCCTTCAGAACCCCTTTGTTCACTCCCACAGCCAGACACTTGTTAGCAAAACACCTGGCTGACACCTGGAGCTGTATTTTATATTCTGGGACACCTGTTGTTGCTGTGGCATTTACAGCTTTTCTAGTTGGTGGGTTTGTTTTGGTGTGTCACTAACGTGTCCAAGCACTTTAAGAAAATAGATGTCTGACCGATTGAGGGTGTTTTCCCCCAGATTCTTGTATTTTAAATTCACATCTTGTATTTTAAACCCTCGCTGAGGCCACAGCCACTGGGCTACCCACATCTACTTATCAAAGGCTTTCACAATGAATATATTTTGTATTTGTAAGAGGTGGTCACATTAAAAGTTCCTGGCGTAATGTGTGATTCCTTTTATGATTCTGGTGCCTTGAACACCAGTGGTGAAGGGATGACCTCCTGAGAAGCTGGTGCCCAGTGGCTGAGGGGTCAGTGGGGACAGAGCCTTCCCAAGGGAGGGGCAGTGGCAGCAGGCCAGGCACAGAGGGGCTCTGTCACTGCCGGGTTTCACTGCTGTGCCTTTTCCTGTGGGTGGCACAGGTTAGCCATACACGTGGGTATCCCACTGAGTGTTTGTTCCATTCCTGTTATATCCCAGTGACTGCTGTGGCCTCCTCCCAGCATCTTCACCTCTCCCTGCCTGTCACATTGTACAGAGCAGCCAAGCAATAGCCTTGATCTGGCCATTTCCCTCTTTGCCAAAGGCCTTGTCCTGGAGTGCTGCTTAGATCCCCTCAGGGACAGCTCCTTTCACACATGTTCAGCACTGTCAGGGGCTGTGCAATTCAGAATACTTGGTTTCCAAAATGTTTTAATTTAGATTTGTTATAAAATTAGGGAATCTCAACAATTTGCAGTTGGTAACAGGTTTAGCTAAACTTAAAAAATCGATTTGGAAAACTGTATCTTGAAGACTTCAGTTCTTCCTACCCCATCAAAATAGTATTTTGATATATGGTTCTTGATTATTTAATTTGTACAGAAAAACCAAACAGCATGAGCAAGCACGACTCATCTAAAAAAGAAGATGATTTCTGTGCACTTTCACAGTTTACTTAAGTAACATGTTGCTGCCATTATACAAAAATTTCACAAAAATGTGTTTCTGCTTCACTTGCAGGGTTACACCAAGTCTATTGACATCTGGTCAGTGGGCTGCATTCTGGCAGAGATGCTCTCCAACAGACCCATCTTCCCAGGAAAACACTACCTTGACCAACTTAACCATATCCTTGGTAAGCTCTATGGAACAGCAGCATTTCCACATCCATCTGTCTCTCTCCATCGTTTCTGCCAGCTGGGCTGGTCTTTCTCCAGTGGATTACTGTGTAAGGTGTGGATCTGTAGGTGTGTCCGCTGTCCCCTCTAGTTATTTTTGCAGCAATTGCTACAGGTAATCATTGTTTTGGGGACAGCCTAGAGGATACTCAGCAATTTATTTACTACATCAGCAGATACATTTTTAAAACAAAATTAAAAAAAATAAATTAAAAGCTCATGTATTATTTGGTCCAGGTCAAATTTTTAAAAATTTCTTTAGATACACTACTTACTGGGATCTTTTTAAGAAATTACAGATCATTAGAAAACTCAGATCCATTTATTTATTTAACAAATGGCTTTTCGTAAAAGTTTTTAAAAACTACTCGGGTATTTTGTATCCTTAAAACATTTAGTCTGAAATCTTCTTCCCAGCAGTTCTAATACTGAATTTTAGAAGATACAGCTGTGTTAATGTGATTTTCATAGAATGCACTAATTGTTTATATTCATATTTTTTAGGTATACTTGGATCCCCTTCCCAAGAAGATTTGAATTGTATAATAAATTTAAAGGCCAGAAACTACTTGCTTTCTCTACCACACAAAAATAAGGTACCATGGAACAGGCTGTTTCCAAATGCCGACCCCAAAGGTATTTTATACTCTATTACATTGTATCAAAGTGATGGCAGGATGGGAGTTTCTATAACCTAAGAATTTATCTTTATATTGGAAATAGAACATGCAGGCACCTTAAAATAGCACCGTCAATCTAATATAAAATCATAAACCAGCACAAAGCCCTCACACTAGTTTATCTTTTTAATGCAATTTTTAATAACTCTAAGATTACCTGTTGTGGTGTTTGGTCTTTAACTTACATATGAAATCCAAACTCTTGTCACTGTCCTTGGAAGCACAGTACATTATTCGAGTGCTGATCATCAGCACTGCACTGGCATCAAACAAGTCTTGAACTTTGTTTCTAACATCAGATGGGAGGCAGCTGCTTGCTGCTGCCCTGGGTAGAGTTTTTGCAGACTGTCCATCAGTTGTAGGTTAAACAGGGTCTCATCAGTGGTGGGATCCTTGGATACCATGAAGACTTAAAATTTAATGGGTTAAAAGATGCAGTTAGGATGTGTGGAGCAAAAGTTTAAAAAGCAAGGAATGTATTAATTGTTAACCTTTCTTAACAAGCTTTAGTAAAGGATAAATATGATTTTGTTGTGCTAGACTGCTGTTAATTTACCTTTTATACTCAACTTTGTACAGTTTAATGGTGGTTGTGTGCACAGTACAGTGCTTCTTTGCCTGCTCTAGCACAATTTGTAAGTCACTTCTTTTTTTAACTGATATGATAATTTACTCTTAGTGGATATGAGCAGGTACTGAATTACCATGTAAAAGCTGATTTCTGCAGATGGAACTATGGAGCTGATTATCCCTGTCATTGAGGAAAACAGCAGTGATTTATTCTGCTTTTATAACAGTGCTCATCAGTGTGAGAATCCTCCCTGTGTGCTTTGACAGCTCAGATGGCAGCAGTGCTGGTGCTCAGCTGAGGGGGAATGTGCCATTTGGTGCAGCCCATTGGCAGTGGCACCCTGAGGGCAGCTGTGCCAGGGCAGCTTTCAGGAGCTGGGGGAGCCGGGCCAGGGCTGGCACAGGAGCTGCCAGCACTGAGGGAACCGCAGCAGAACGCGGAGTGACAATTACAGTGCGGCTCTGAGGCCTTTGGAGCTGCCCTCCAGTGCAGGCGGGTCTCTTGTGCAGTGCTGAGTGCTTCAGAGATCCAGGGAAGCTCACTGCAGTGGTGGGTGATGGTGCATCCTCCCTCCCCAGGCTGGGCTGTGGCCTGAGGTCACAGGTGTGCTCCTCATCCTGGTGCAAAGCTGCGACTGCTGTGCTGCATCAAGAAACCTCTGTTAAAATTCTGGTTCATAAATGATGTGGTGAGGAGAAGAAATGTGATGGAGTTTAGGATACTGCAGATATCTTAGGGCTTCTTGCCCTATAATCACTTTCTTCTCTTCTTGGAAAAGGGAAGTGTGTTACAGGCACAGTAGCTGACCAACTGCAGTAGCACTGATTTGTGATGTCTGTCCAGAGTTTCACCAGACCTCACTCTCTTACTGGATCTTCAGGTTCCTTATGGATTCTTTGCGAGTTGTCTTCAACAGATTTTGCCTGAATCTCATGAATATACATGTATTTGCATCTTCTCTGGAGAGTATCTTCTGTGCTGCTGGTTGTGCCACAATATTTCACTGTGATGATCTAGAACTCCTAATGACTTTTGGATGATATTTTCATCTGTAAACAGCCAAGTCTTCTTTTCAGAATAAGAACATATTAATAATTATTTATTTCAGAAAAGCTCCATCTTGATTTGTATTTTGGCACAGAAATCCAAAGCATTTTTTCTGAGGAAAGAAAGAGTTTCATCTGTTGAATTTCTGTTGTAGTTCAAGCCAAATTGTGCTGTGGGATTCGGTGTGTTGCTTGCCTTGGCATCCATTCTGGGGCTGGAGGGCTTGGGCAGGGTACCACCTCTTGGAGCAGGTGGTGCCCAGGGCAGCTGTAGCCCAGGAGTGCTGAGAGAGGGGCAGGCACAGCCTCTGTGCCCAAGCTACAGCAGGGGAGCTCCACGGTGCATTGCCTGTAGCACAGACCTTGGGTAGTGGGCATTGTCTGGGTAAGGTCAAGGTTTGTAACACTTTTTTGGAGTGTGTATTAAATCCTTGCTTGCTTTTTTCCCTCTTAGCACTTGATTTGTTGGATAAAATGCTGACCTTTAATCCTCATAAGCGGATTGAAGTGGAGCAAGCTTTAGCCCATCCATATCTGGAGCAGTATTATGACCCAAGTGATGAGGTAAAGACATTGTTAAAATGTAAACATTGATAAAATGATCCAGCTGATTATTTTCTACTTTAGTTCAAGGGTAGTATTTCTACTGCACTAATGGAGTTGAAGAACAAATTGCATCAATTTACCAAAATTTGTATTTCTCACTTTAGTGCAACACTTACGAGATGCCACACAGTAAATTGAAACTAAGGTGTGCTCCCTCTCCAGAAAATGGAGAATTCTCATTTTGTGTGAGGCCTGGTTTCATAATGACTGAGTTTGCCATCAGATTATGCTTTAAAAACCTGGATTGGAACTGGCTGTAGTTTATGTACAATTCTGAGGAGATTTCTGACACCTTTTTGTGAAGAAATAGGGGAGGAGGAAATAACCTAGTTTTCCTTAAGGGCCAGATATGTTTATTCCAAGAAATGAAAATGTTTAAGATGGTTTTTCTCTTCAAGTAGATACTAAGTTATGAGCCTCAAATAAGTATTTCAATTTGTAGTTTGGATTTGACTAGCTGCTTACTGTGCTTGATGTAAAATTTTGTAAAATAATACGTAAAGCATACTTAGGACTAATAGGGTGAGTGCTGCCTTGAAGACTGCTCAGTGTTAGGTATTTTTGTGAAGGACGTTTTCAGACTTTTCCCCCGTCCATAAAAGGACTGCATGAAGTTCAACAGCACGATGACATTAATCATATTTCTTTGTGTTATGAAGCCTGTAGCTGAAGCACCCTTCAAGTTTGATATGGAGTTGGATGACTTGCCGAAGGAAAAGCTGAAAGAATTGATTTTTGAGGAAACTGCAAGATTCCAGCCAGGATACCGATCTTAAATCATGCATAGGTAAAGTCACAGCAACAGGGGACACTCGGGCAGGGGGGACATTTCAGACTTTGGTGCTGCTGATGAAATGTAGGACTTGCCTTTTCCAGTACCCAGTAACTCCCTCTCCAAGGACCTGACCTCAGTCCTGTCCTGTTTTTGTGGGAAGTTTCTGTTTGCCCACAGCATTGAAGTGTCCACATGGAATCCAGGAACTGCCCGAGGTGTTTAATGTAACCATACTTGTAGGTTACATTTAAGCATTGCATTTCAATAATGCTGCTTAGAATAAAAGCAATGGTAATGCTTTGAAACGCAAATTTTATTTTAAAAAACATTTTAGGGGCAATTTTCTTCATATTTTACACATACATAATTTTGTCATATGGCTTCAAATGCTTTTAAAAAAACTTCCTTCTAAATGTAATGTACAGAGGACAAAGCTCGTAAGTTATTTTAAAAGAAAAAGCCCACACACAAAACTTCAGTAGGAGTTATCTTTAGTTTTAGGTAACTCCCAAATAGTGTGAGTAAATAAGAATAGGTATTTAAAAATTCAAAAATTAATTGTGATTAATCTTCCTAGCATTTTGAAGGTCTGAAAGTTTAATTTAATATTAAATGTACTGATATTCACTGACTTTTTTTTTTAATCAATGAACTTAACTGGTCTTCCTGTACCACAAAGCTTGCAGGTCTCAGGAGTTTCATACCAAATTGATCAAACACTGACTTGATTGGAGTACCTGTGAAACTTCTGTGATACTAATAGGGGAAAGTATCAACGTTTTATGAGACAAGCCAAAGGCAACAGTCTGCCCTGGGTTTCCTGGTTTGTGCTCTCTGTGCTTTCCTCCCTCAGAGCAGCATTCTGCAATCGCTGCTTTGTGTGGGCAGCTCCAGCAGGAAGGTGAAGTTTTCAGCCAGGGCACTTCCTTGCTGCCAGGAATCCACGGCTCTGCTGGCAATGTGCAAGAGCTTTGTGGCTTTGCTGTAAACAATACTTTTTCTGCACTAAAAATCTGATTTCAGTTTCTGTATTGCATATACCCTCATATTTTCATTTAATGGTGAACTAATAGGAGAGAAAAAGAAAAGAATGTGGGGGAAACTTTTAAAAGTACAGTTTTTACTTTAGTAGAGTAACATGTGTTGCCACTGTTTTGAATATTTAGATGTATAGAAGCTCACAAGTGCAATTTTTACAAATACTGCGTTTTGTTTATTTAAGCTTGCTAGGTGATACTGGAACTGTTGTAATAATTAAAAGATAGGGAAATCTGAGGTTCACACACTGGTTCTATTAGTTGGCATTGTTAATAGAGCAGACCTGGGACACAGTAACTGACTGGTGTTAATGTCCCACCCATGTTTTCTGTGTGAGGGCACAGCTGTACATGTACACATGGTGGAAGAAAGTTACAGAAATTTTTAGGAACAAGATGAAGCCTGATCCTAATAGGCTGTAGTCTCAAGGAAGGACAGTGAGTGGTTACTGATGTGGTAAATCATAGTTTGTGATCTCTCTTGCTTGCCTCTTTGCTCAGACCATACTCACCTAGGTTGTACGAGGGATTAAGGGATAAAAGGATTAGGGATAAAGATATCAGTAATCCGTTGCTAGCAGAAATTTCTGGTTTGATAAAAATGCTCCAAATGCTACTATACAGAGTTGACTTGGCCAGCACAATACTGAAATTGAAATATTGTACTTAGCTTGATAAGGATATGCTGGTAATTTGTCCAAGTCATTTGTGGTTAGGATTGCCAGTTATGCCATAGCACAACAGTTAAACATAGCTGCTTGACATCCTAGTGAGGGCCAGTCCCCAGGAGCTGGCTTCAAATGCACAGTGACAGTGTCCTGCTGTGCATTCCCGTTCTCCTGCACACTCCCCTGTGCTTGATCAGCCAGCTCTTCTCACTGGGCTGTTTCTCAAGATTCGGTGTCCCCTGAGCTGTGGGTTTTGGAATTGAGAAGCAATATGAAAAGAACAGATTTTTGGTTTAGACAAACAATGTACTTCATTGATTAGTTATGTTTAATCTTCCTAATCTTTTGAATACTTAATAGTTTAAAATTGAATGCCCTGAGATCCAGTGTCTCTGAATTCTTTTTTAACAACTGTAGATCCAGCTGGCTCTGGCTGATGGTAAACCCAGTGTGCACAGAGCACAGAAATAGGAAAGGGCTTGTTTTAAAAGGTGATGTTAAACTTCCTTCACTGAAATATGTCTCTGCTCTCTTGTAGGACAAGGACTTAAAGGACTGGGCATGCTCAAATGTTGCTGTTCCTCTTCCCAGTTCTTTATTGTTGGTCATGTCTTGTGGCCTCTCTCAGCTTATCCACTAACTCCTTTGAGCCATTCAGGAGGGCGGTTCCTGGTAGTTTTGGCTTTTCATGCTTTCAATGAATCTTTTAAGCCTGAAGAATTGTAATTGACACTCCTATGCGTAATGCCCATTGTTGACCTGTTGCAGTACTGTACTGTACGTGCACCTACTGCTGGCCGTGTTTTAACTGCTTGCTTTCTGGTTTGAAAGATGCAGTGGTTCCTTTCACTCCTGGATCAATATCCAAGAAGATAATTCATTAACCTGTAAGACGTTTACACCATGAACTGTGTTTTTCTGACTTTACTGAAGTCGCTGGCATTTTTTTTTAGAAAAGCTACTATTCAGGGCACTTTAAGTCAGTGACATCCCAGATTTTTTTTGCACGTCCTTTTTAAATAGAAATGGTTGGTTAGCATCCGGCAGAGTGTACCGTTATGCTATGGATTGCAGCATAAGTTGTGTTCATGTTAATCTTGCTTATGCACTTGTTTGGGTGTCCTGTGCTGTACATACAGGTATTCTATCCAGTGTAAGAGCCACATAGGAGCCCAACTTAACTGAATTCATCTAATAACATTTTTCCATGTATTGACGAAATTTGTACCTTTTTCTCCCTGCTTTTCCTAAGAGATCATTTAAAGTTTACCCACGCTGGAGGCATAGTACTCCCAAAGTTCCTACCATGCAGTAGTGTTTGTACGGCCTGTGCAAAGGCAAGGTGGCAGCTGCAGCTGCTCTTTGCTCCCTGAGTGCTGGAAGGGTTAACACAGACCACGATGGCACCATGACCCCATGGCCAGTGCTTTTCCTGGGCAAGGCAGCCGTATCTGGTGGCAAGCAAGAAATCAGAATATGATGTTAATTAACTCAGTCTATATCCTGCATACCAATGAAATGTTTCAAATGAGGATTGATAGTTTTGACATTTGAATCTAATTACTGATGTTCAGATTCTTGCAGAGAGGAACACTGCATCTTCAAATGAGAAAGTTTGATTTACTTTTGCTCCTACAGCATGTCAGCATCTCAAGTTCATTTCTTGCAACCTACACTATGGTGATTTGTAATCAAGCCTCCATGAGCTCGTGACATGAAGTACTGTTCTGTTGTCAAGTACTATCAAACTTTTCTGATAATGCTGAGTTAGGACAACCAAACAAAGCTAGCACTAAATAACATTTAAAATTGTATACCTTTTAATGATCTTTTCAAGTATTTGTTACTGAAATTGTATAATGTGGAGTTTACTAGGTGTTATGTTCCAGTGCAGTGCCTCCTTTTCTTTCCCCACTGCTCTCTGTGGTGAGAAATTTGCCTTGTTTAAAATAATTACTGTGCCCTCGCATGACTGTTAAAGCTTTCTGTGCAAAGATGATTGTCTAAGTGCCACATGCCTATGATTGAGAAGAAAAAATAATCTATTGTTACCTCTGAGTTGTGTTCAACTGAAATGCTATTCAACAAATAACTTAGGAAAAATAGTTCTATTTTTAGCTTTTCATATTTCTGCTGTCTTTTTCTCATTTTATTTTGGCAGCAGTGAAGAATGGATTGTATAAAGACTGCTTGCTAATATGAACAAAATGCACTTGTAATTCCTGGAAATAAATTTAAATCTTATATCTTCACATTAACATTAAGAATTAGTTTTTGGTTTCCTCTTGGGTAATGTCTTTGAATGAAAATCATGTTCAACTGCTACTGTAGTACATAAGGATGCTGGCTGGTTAATAACTCCAGGCTTCCTCATACCATTTAGTCTGCTCTTCAGAGAAATCTAGAAAGCCATTAACTTAGACTCCAGTAGATAAGGGTGCTTACAAGATTCCATTTCAATTTTTTTTCCTATAGTTTAAGTGTTAATCTGCCAAAACTAATTTTTAATAAGCAAGGGTTCATCATTAAAGGGCATTTTCTATTAGGAAGTTCTTTTGGTACATAAATCTCTGATGTGGGGAACAAATTCAGAGCATTGTCAGGACACTGCACAAGTGATCATGGAATTGTGGTATGGAACCTATGCTAAAAACATTTCTGTAGAAGAAATATGCACTTGACTGTTGATACCAGTGTAGAAATTTCTCTTGACCTTTCTACACATCTTTACCAAAATGCTTTTCTCACTCAGTTTTGAAAAGTTGAAATAGTTCTAGAATCTCTGCTACTTGCATGATCATCATTACAACAGGAATCATTTTTGGCATGGTTGGAAAGATGACTGTTACTGAAATTAGTTTGTAACACCTCAGTTTTAATTTATTAAGAAAGAACTTTGGCAGCTTACTTCACCCTTCTCTTTCCCCATTCTTTTTTTTTTTTTTTTAATACTGTCTTTAATTTGGGATGTTTGGGGAGGTGTAGACTTACCCTTGCATCCTGTCCCTCTGAATGAGAAGCCGAGGGTTTGCTTTACCTAATGTCTGGTGCTTTTGGGCTTTCTTCCTTAGCTACTTTTGCTGAATCCAATTGGCATGCATCAGGATCCATAACCACATTCATCAATCCTTTACTGAATTCAGTAAACATTGTTGGGTTGAATTTGTTGATGCGTCAAATGCTGAAGCACGATTCTTTTTTTTGGTCAGATTTTAAAAATAGTTTAAAGAAGGTGCCTCTAACAACACTGTGTTAGGTCAGTTATTTCATCATTTTACATTGGGTTCTTTTCTTTATGCAGTTTTTATATTTTAGAGCGGAGAACAGCAACTCTTAATCGAAGTAGCATGCATATTTCATGGTAAAGATTCTTTGGGAATAAGGAATGTAAACAGTTCACTGTCAAAAACATTCCAACCTTACAGCTGAAGAAAAATATGCAAACACAAAATTCTCATGGATACTTTGGCAAACAAGCCTCTGACTCTGCTGTCCTGCCTGTGGCCAGACTCTCCCTCACCCCTGTGACACCAGAGCTGGGCCGCGTGCGCCGGGAGCTTCCGGAGTGGCAGTGGGGACAGAACTCGGCAGTGGCCAAACAAAACCTGAGGAGCTGAGCAGGGCTTTCCTTGCAGAATGAGAGAAAGAAAAACCTGTTGTTGCTGCCCACTGTAATATGCTACGATATATTTATACCATGTCAAAGTTGTTTGCTGAGCAACTGTACTATAGATTTAAACTTTATTAATATATATTGCTTATGTTAGTGTAGTTTATATAGTCCTTGGTTATTGATAAATTTATTGTGTTGTTACAGCACAGTGATATGGTATAAATATAGGTCTATACATACACACCATATACTTATGAATTTGGTCCCTTGCATAGTACTTTTATATTTGTACAGCAATGTCTTCAAGCAATCCCAGATTTTAGGGGAAATATTTTTGTAAATGCAGTGGTTTAAACAAAAAAGTCCAAACAATCCTTTTACTAAGTTTTAAATACATTTGTGGTTCAAAATGGTTTCGTTAACAATTGAAATCAAGACACTAAATTAGTGAAAAGTGCACATTAGTAAAGTGAAGCTTACAGTGGTTTTTGTAGCATGTGCTGTGATCAAACCAAGTGATACATCGGCAGAAATGTAAAAGTTGGACTACATGTGTAAATCTAGAACAAATTTCTAAAGGTTGCAGCTGGTTTACTTACTATTGTTGCCTTTTCTCGTGTTGTATCAGTGTAGAGCACTCTTAAAATACTCAAACGGCTTTGTCTTTGCTTTGTACTGTTGGTGCCTTCTTAGTCATGTACCCCACAAGTCCTGCATAGCTAATTTAGTTAATGGTAAGTTTAAAATAAAAAAGCAAAGGAAGATTTTATAAAAAATAAATAAATCATTTTCTGTATGTTCCTATTCATTGTAACAATTAAACATTTATATTGTGACAGATTTGTGATTTGGTTAATCTGTATAGATCAATTGTAAGTAGCAAAGGTTTATATTTCGTCTTATTCTTTTGATGTTGTAAACGTTTGTGATTTTCTTTTTTAAATCAGGTAACTTAATGTTCTGTTTTGTTTTGGCATCTGAATCTTGTAAAAACAAATGCAAAGAAAATCATTAAATTGTGTCCCTGTATTACCAAACCAGCATAGTTCCGTGCATATCTAGAATGACTGGTCTGAGCTGGTCCATTGGCTGATCCAAAACTGCCCCTTGAAAGTGCACGGGGAGCAGCCTGCAGGCAAGGGCTGTAACTGCTCAAGGTGTGTGTCCCCCTGTGGAACTGTACCAACTTGGAATTAAACTAGGGAAGCCAAAAAAAAAAAAACCAAACAAAACCACAGATGAGCTTTGGTGTGAGACAATTATGAAATCTTGACCCAATGAGTGATGCAAACTAATTTCAGTGTTACCTGATGGTTCATGGGCTTTTTTGACACTTTATATGGGTATTCATATTGCACTGTTCCCATGAAATCTTGAAAATTTTTACATATGTAATCCTTAGAAACCAAATGTTTTCATTTCAGTAGAAAAAGGTGGTTCTCTGACCAGAGATTTGAAATATAGGATTTCTGGGAGCAGTGCAGGTAAGTTCATATCACTGTCATGGACTTTTAGTTCTTCTTCAAACAGTTACAACTCTTAAAAGGTGTAGCTGGATAATGGCAGCTAAAAACTTCTCTAATTAATATGAAAAGGCAGAAAATTACCTGAAACTAAAGAAAACTTAGCCATGACTGGCAGGTGTGTAACAGCTCTGAGATTGGCTTCTAAAAATTCATCTCTCCTTCCCCTCCTTGGCTTTCACTGCAGAGTGCAGTTTTTTTTTCCCCCAAGAATAATACAGGTTTAATTTTCACCACGTTTCTGTGTGTTCTTAACGTTTTTGTTGGCTGTGGCTGTTCCCCTGGCAGAAGATGTGTTCACCGTAGCATGCACTTCAGGAAGGGACTTCAAGGTACAACTGCACAGCTGCTTGGCTCCAGGAAGGTTTTGACAAATATCTGATTGACTTAACATTGCTGTTATCCTTGTTTCAGTGGGATTGGTTTGAAATACCACACAAATTTCCTGTGTTTCACCAGAAGTGGCTGTAAGCTCTCCATCTTTAAGCTTCAGGTGTAGTGGGCACTCCTGAGCCGTTGGGCACGTGGGTCGGGGTGGTGGTTCCCCTGAGCACCCCCAGATGCTGGGGAGATGCTGCACTCAAATGCTCAGGAAGGCTGGCAAGGAGCTGCTTTTGAGGACAAGCTGTGTTTTTTGGAAGAGATTAATGTAGGTCTGATGGCATCAAACTGTGTAGAACTCTGACCTAGGACTTGGCAGACCAAAGATAATTCTGTGTTGTGCATGTTTCATCTCCAGTTATTCTTTCTAAATTGCATATATGTAACACTGAAAAGCTGAAAAAATAAAAACCATTTGAGGCATGTAGACTCACAAACATCACTGCATGAACATATGCTGGGTCTGTTGGTTACCTTGCTTATGTGTCTTCTCACCACACAAGTCCAGGTAGCTTCAGAAGGAGTTCTAGAGCCTTAACTCTTCTTGCAAAGGCAGCTTCAGTGTGGCTGCTGAACACCACCCTGATGTCAGAGGTGTTCACATCCCCATCAGAAAGGCAGCCCTGCTCACGTGCTGTTTGTGTGAAGCCTGCTCTTGGGACTGGATGTGAGAACTGTTCTGTAACCCCTCTGTCTTTTCCCCTGTAATTTATAAATTGACATTGACAACTTTCCTTCAAGTGTTTTCTAGAACTCTGCCTGTTTTTCAGCACATCTTGCTATTGGCAATTTACTTTTCTCTGTGTTTAAACTGAGTAACCAAGTTCCACTTGTTACCAAAAAAATCTTTATTCTCTAGGATTTGTGAGCATTCTGATGATAAACAGCAGATTATTGATCCTGTTAAACTGATGTACCTTGTGAATGCTGAAAACTTCCTGCAAGTTCTCTAAAGCTGCCTAAAGTTTTCCTCTCAACATGCACACACAGCCCATTTTCCCTGAAGTTCCTTCTCTTTACAGCCGATTAATTAGCGTGGTAGAGAAATGTGTGATCCTTTTAGCTTAGTACAGAGGTAGCTTGTGTTACTATGTGAAGGCTGAAAAGAGGAGACTTGAAGTCTTCCATTGCTGATTTCCCTGAAAAGAGCAAGAAATGCCTTGCCAGGGTCTTGGGTTTGCAGTGTTTTCTCACCGAAAAAGACAGTAATTAAAATACTTGAGTGTCTCTTCCCAGTCTGTGAGTTTGTGTGCACTCAGCTGCTGACTGCTGCCTGCAGCACTGCTCCTGTCTCCGTGCCTTGCTGCTTGCACTGGGCTGGCCTTTGATCTGAGTTCCTCTTCCAGCAGCACTGCTCTTCCTCAGGGGTTTCCACTTTCCATGTTGGGATCTTTCTCCACAGTCCCTTGTCTGCTCTGGGTGATGACTTCACTCCTTTGTTCCTACTTTTCCTTACCTTGCACGCTGCAGAGTCCTGCAGTCTCACAGCTCCGCTTTTATTTGCTTCTTTCATTTTTTGCCTCTGTCCAGCTGAGCCGAGGACAGAGCTGTGTTTCACAGAGCTGGGCCTGGCTGCAGGCAGCTGACCTGGAGCTCTGGCTCGGGAGGAAACAGAGAGGGCAGGGCAGCTGCAGTTCCGGGCCAGCCCTGCCATGGCAGCAGCCAGGGTGAGGCACTGCAGGGATCCCCTATTCCACCGTGCAAGTTTAATTCTGACCTTGAACACACAACTTTGAAATAATGGAAGATGTTAATCTCTCTGGCTGTGATGTGTGATCTATGTCTGAAAATTCAGCCTTTTTTAGCAAAAAACCAAAAAACAACAAACCCAAAGCTGTAAGAGAATGCCATTGAATTTTTTAAAATTTGCTATTACTAAAATACTTGAGATGCACCTTTTAGGAAGGTTGTTTATTTGTTGTTTTTGTTGGTTTGTTTGTGATTTTTTTTGTAACATCCCAGACTAAATGGCTTGCTGTGAACATCTTTTTCTGCCTTAAAATTACAAATGCAAAAATGCTGAATATTCAGAATTTTTGCTTGAGACTCACTGAACTGATGATACTGCAAGAGAGCTGGAAGGTTTTTTAGTCAGGCCTTTCTCCTAGATCACCTTTAATTTTGATAGCTAGTACTGAAAAGGAAATTTGGACTAAAACTCCTTTCTTTGTTCCTGCAAGTATTAAAACTCACAGGTATTCTAACTTATAGTTGAGGCACCACAGATTCAAGAGTTCAAACTTTAGACTTTTTAATGCATTCTGTGTTTTAAAAAACTTTGTTAGTTTTTGTATATATACCTTTTCAGGCTTTCTAAGTAGGTTTGCACAGGTGTGGAGGGGACACAAACTTGCAGGCCAGTTTATTATATACAGAAATATTTCAATGGGTGTTGTGGCTGTCACTGTAGCTCCGTGTTTTGTTTCTGTTTGCCTTCATGCAGTGTAAGCACAGCACTCCAGACAAAAGTGGGGATTGAAAACAAAACCATTTCTTAATCATTCTGTTGTAGCTAAATGTAATATAAATTTGGATTTGAGGATATGCTTGGTATTTTGGAGGAACTGTGTTAAGCTGTTTTTACAGCTGACTTGGTGACATTTCTGTAAGTAAAATATGCTGTTGTTCCAGCATGGCAAAGGTCTGCATAATTCATGTGCTCAACTTAATCATTGGTTTTCTTCTTGTGTACCAAAAGCAATATATCCTGTGTGTAGTTAGTAGTGGAAATAATTATTACTGTGCAGCTTGTATTTTCATTGTCTTTGCAGCCACTAGTATGGATTGTGTACACTGACAGTCGCTCCAGGCTATTAAAGACGTCTAGGGCAAAACCAGGTCCTGGATAACACTTGTTTGCGTTCTGGAAGCTGTTGCTGTACTTTGAAGCAGAAAAGGGTTGCACCTGATGCTGCATTAAGCTTATTTTCTTCTGCGTCTTGTCATCAGAATACATCTAAGTCTGGAGTGTTTCTCCAGATTTGCTCCTCCACATTGTTCCTCTTGAGAAAGGCCCAGGCTCAACACCAGCATCATTAGAGCCAATGGTGATAAGAGAGCAGAAGGGCTTTTTTTCTCTGCTTGATTTTGGGATTCTGCTAAACTGTACTCAGCTTTAGAGCATGGCACTGTAAAAAGACTTGTGGAATGCTGCAACTGGCTTTGCTCACCAACTAAATAAGACCAGATAAGACTTCACAGGCAATATGCAATGCTTGGGAACTCTCTAGTCATAAGTACTGTTCCCTCCTACCCCCCAGTAGCAATTCTGCACTTCTGTCTCTGCAAGTAAACCCTGGATAACTCCGTTCAAAGGGAAGCTTCATTTCTGGGTGCTCAAAAGGGCAAGATAATAAAACAGTTTCTCCCTATCACTTGCATTTGACTGCTAGTGTAGTACTCGTTATACTAAATTGTCACTGTACAAAAATTTCATGTTGTAGAAATAAGAGGGCTGAAGAGCTTGTTTTTCTCAACATATTTCTTCTCACTGTCTAAGTCTGTAGAAAAATACCTACTTTCAGTTATAGCTAAATAGCCTTTCTGCATTCTCTGTGCACATTTTTCTCTGCTGCCTCCTACTCTTCTTAGATGTGATTTACTTTACTGCTAATGGTGTTATAAAAACTGTAGTACTACAGGTGTCGTGGTAACTTGTAAATAAAATTACTGTAAACGCACAGTCAAGTTATTTGTGGTGCTGCTCTGTACATGTGTGACACTGCCTTAGCTGTCAATCCTCACTGCACTTCCCTGGAGGATCACTTGGGGATTATAAAGGCTGTGCCTGTGCTTCCTATGAGGAACCTTTTGCTGACCAGCCTCCACAGCAATCTGGTCATATTAACAAGTTCCAGGCAACTCTAGAATTGACAGCAATTATTCCTAGGCAGGAACGTTGCCACAGTATTTGCCAGCTGACAGCAAACCAACCCTTCTGTCAGACTGATTGTCAGCGGAGCAGTAATACTGTTTTATGTAAATACCTCTAACCATTTGTATAGCAAGTACAGAACACAGGATTATTTACAGTGGGAGGCTGAAGAGGAAGCTGTTGCTGGGGCGTTGTGTCCTTGGAGCCTGTTGGTGTGTTTCCTATCCAAGGAGAGAGGGGCAGAAGAGTGGAAGAGTCTGAGCTGTGTGGAGAACTCGAAGTGCTGTGCTGCAGTTGCAAACCCACTGCACTGCTCTGCTGCGCTCTGCGGTGTCGAGGCGGCAGGGGAGCAGCAGAGGCTGCGTGGCTGGGCCGAGCAGAGGGCAGCAGGAATGCCAGGAGCTGGAGCAGAGGGCAGCAGGAATGCCAGGAGCTGGGAGGTGAGCTCAGGAGCACTGCTCCATCTCCTGGAAATCGGTCCCGAGGAGCTGCAATGAGCGGCCAGGGTGAAGCCCTTCAGAACAATGTGCCCTGATGAATGCTCGTGTCCGTGTGCTGTGGGAGGCATATCATCGGGCAGTGCAGCAGCAGATAAAATTTAAGGTGTTTCATGAATATGGAATACTTTTAGGAAATATTCAAATGGCTGGATTTTCTACAGTGCTGAAGAGAGAAGCAGTTTGTAATTCCCAGCTACCTGAGGCTCCAGTCAGCTGTTTTTTCATGTATGCAGGGAAAAATTCACTTTTTGGAGATTACAATATTTCTGCTTCCCAACTTTTAACTGCTTCTGTAATTCACTGTTTTCTTCCCTTGAAACCTTCTTCCCTGCAACTGCTACATACGATCTTTGGGAGCCTGAGTCTTTCAAAGGTATTTAAGTGAATTAAGAGGCAAATACCACATGGAAACATTTATCTGGAAACAATTTCACTTAACAGTTTCTCAAAGCAGGAACTTGTGGCCTTTTACCACAAGGGGTAATAGAGTTTATTTACAACAAGCATATTAAACAAAACACTTACCTTGAAGAATAAATAGAAATACAGTCCCTCTCGGAATAAAATGCCGTGTCTGTAATAGCTATTGAATTAAATCTTGGGGGGAAAAAAGGGACTAGGAAGCAAAAATATCTCCAGATCAATGTGCTTGAATGAATGAAATTAGTGTGTGCAACAGGGGTTGTCTGAAGGTGGTGATTATAATCCAGGTAGGTTTGGTGGGTAGAGAGGTGGGCAGCAACAATGAAGCCCGTGGCATTACTTGTATAAATATTGCTATCTGCAAATTGCCACACTCCTCATCCAACAAAGGTAGCAATTAATTAAGCAGATGAGTCTATTTCAGCTCTTAAGGCACTCATTTCAGGATATTCAGGAATTGTCTTGGCATTCACTTGAACTGAGAATGGATTCATGATGACATGTTTGTGTTCAATTACTGAAATTTTCCATGTGTATATTTTGGGTTTACTTGAATGTATGAATCATTTGAATATTTGGTAATTTTCACTGTGAAAAGAAATGTGATTGCCTTTCAGTGATCTGTCTTGCTCCTGCTTGCTAACTGTGCTAGATTTTGGAGCAGGGGGCACAAAGCCTTTCATACCCTGGAATAAAATAATCTTCAGGTAAATTAGTAAAAATTAAAAACTCTTTGTATGGCCTGTTTAAGAATCATAAACAGATCTGTAAACCCTTTGCACCTACTCAGGCAGTGAAGAGCTAACTAATTGCTGAAAAGCTTGAGGGAAATAGCTCTTCCTATAAGCACAATTCCTATACCCTGCTTGAGACTCCACCACAGGCTGTTACCTTCCAGGGCTTGCTAATCAGCAGCTGTTACAATACAATTCAATTCAATACAATACTGGGTGGGTTTTCCAATGCCATGTTGGTTTTCTTAAACCAGTCCCAAAACTGGATTCACCCAGTACCCAGTCTCCCTCAAGAAGTAATGGACTCCACCAGAGGTGTCCTGCCTGGTATCTTCTTGCAATTATTTTATTTCTATTTGTTGTCTTGTGCAATAATTTATTTTCTTGTTTTCTCTTTAGTCCTCTTACACTTTAAAGGCTGTGCTGAGATCAGATGAATGCCTGGCTTTCCTGGATAACAGGCAGCCCATCTCAAAAACTTTCTGTAATCCAGTGCCATTAGATGTAGCTGTTGTCAAATGCAGCCAAGCTCCTGAATGCAACCATAGAAAAATCCTGTTGGAAGGAACCTCTGAAGGTCACCTGGCCCAATGCCCAGTGCAGATGTGGTGACCGGGACACCTCTGAGGTGCATGGGGCTGAAGAGGATCTATTCAAGGGAGGGGAGAAGTAGATCTTTCGTTCATATTTACATAAGTTCATATATATATATATATATACATAAACTTACATATGAGGTCATACTTATACAGCTACATGTTGCCATTTTTAAGAAATACAGTGAACAAGACAGATTTAGGCATGGAATTTATCCTTTAATCACTTTCACCCCTACTTCAGTCTCGTTGGTGTAGGGTATAAAGGGGGCTACACCTCACATCCTTTTTTCTGTTTTGACTGGAAGACATGGGCAGTGCAGGATGATCCCCGTTTTTACAGAGCTACAGCTGCTGCAGACACGCAAAGGCTGAGCCCCTCCTTGCTGCACAGGCTGCCCTTCCTGGCACCGCCACAGTTTGTGCTGTTCCTGCTCCTGGGCTCAGCTTTCAATCTCGTACCACCTTGCACGTTTCAGATATTGGATTTTACACATACTTTCTACAAATAAAACCAAATTTTGTGTAATGTTTGCTATTCATTTTGTCTGTGGGTCAAATGTTTTAGCAATGCTGATCTAATCTCCAGAAAGCAAAAATAAGAGAGACAAAACCAACCCTAGAAATGATGTAATGACACTTTTTATTCAGCCTCGTAGTAGAACCTTTGCCTCCGTCAAAATGCAAATAAAAGCTTTGAAGGAAGAAAGCGTAACCGTAGCTCGGAGCTCCTGCTGCAAAGCGCTCCCGCCCAGCCCGGTCCTGCAGAGCTGTCGGGATGGTCCCGGCTCTTCTCGTGCCATCTGCTGGGGGACAGCTGCCATGAACTGCGTTATGCGAATAAAAACCCTGCTGGCAGTCAACCGCGACCGTTCAACAGCAGAATTTATAATAATATCCAGACTGTCTAGAAAAATATCATATAAGTCTTCTAGATTTAGAGCTCCAGTGTTTGTCAAAGGCTAACCTAGTGACAGGGCACAACACAAACATATCTCTGAAACTGTAAATTAATAATTTCTATTTTGATGTGGTAGGTTTGGGGGTTCTTTTTGTTTTGGGTTTGGTTGTTTAGTTGTATTATTTTAAAGCAGTCTGAGTCTCACAGTGGGTGTACACTATGACTGGTCAAGGCAGTAGAAATGTGGACTTAAAGACAATTTTTTTGCTTGGGTCTGATTTGATCATTATTCCATTTTTTTCCCCATTTCTGGTGTGGGTCCAAGCAATTCCAACCACCTACAAAAAAAGCACACCACCGTGCTAGGGAATGAAGCACAGAAGCAAGGTGAGGCATTCGGAACTTAATATGAATATTAATGATTATGATTATGCTAGTTATGATTGTCAAACTTTGTACAATATGTTCTTCTCATCTCTGTTCCCATCCACCCATTCCATACATACTGGCAGAAGTATCAAAAGAGCAATTCAAGATAGAGGACTGAGAGAACAGTATTACAGCTTGTAACATGAAAAACTAACTTCCCCAGCCTGCGGGTGTGTTTTATACCCCCAGCTAAGATGACACATTTCTCTCTTGTAACAATATCCAAAGGGTTGAAGAATCTTGTTTGTAGCAGCAGCAAAAATACAGGAAATTTCTGTACTGATGCTCAGGGGATTTTGCTGGTTCCAATAGCTTTTCTGTCAGCCTCCATGCCCTGCTTTGCACCCTGCTCACACAGATGATGCTGTCTGCTCTGCTCTGTAATTCTTCAGCTCACACAAGAGCAAGTATCCGTTTCCTGATCAAATGTGAGTTATGTTGACTTGTGCTTGTGTGCTCCTGCCAGAGCAGCTGGTTTGGTTATGTCCTGTGCCCCCTGAGCCATCCAGAGGTCTCAGGTGACTTTTTTTTAGAACCTAAAAGTTTGAGATACCCCAGAAAGGCACTGAAATGTGGCTATTTCTGGCAGAACGGGTCTTCTCAAGGATACTGGGGAAGGCAAAAAACAAACCTAGGATGCAAAATGGGTTTCAGAAAAGCACAGGACAAAGGCACCTGTGACAGTTTCTTTGCGTGGGATACTAACATTGGCACTACTTTTCTGGAATATATGGATGCAGAGAAGGATGTTGAAGACTGTAACCCCCAGCTGGTGTGGGTAAGATCCACCTGAGTGCTGGCCTCTGTAGAGCTTAGATACCAGCTGAGGTGGCGTTGCAGTATTTGCATTTCACCCCTCTGTTACCAGACAACAGCCTTCTAGCCTGGCACACTGCAGAACACAAAGCAGTAGCATTACCTCTGCCTTTAAGTAATTGTTATTACATTCTATGACACACATTTTATGTGTAGTGCTGGATGCTGCTGTCTCGAGCAGAGGTAAGAGAGTCTTTTATGGCTCCCTCCCACCCTTGTTCCAGCCATTTCAAGCACTGATCATGCTGTGGTTGTATCAGCCTGGCCACCCCATTCCTCTCCTGCACTGCTGCCCTGGGCCACAAGCTGCAGCAGTCCCTCAGCAAACATTCTGCCAGACGTGTCAGTACCAGGGCAGAACAGAGAGAGCATTCAGCAGCTGTATGGCACAGCACAGTAGGTATGCACTGTGTGCACAGTGCATCCTGACTAAGTGACAAACTTAAAGCAAAGATTTTTTCTTGATACAAAATCTAGCAAGGAAACCTTAATATGAAACTGTAGTGAAGCTCTGAGTGGATTTGCTGTATGCAACGGGTATGATGGGCAGCAGAGAGTGTGAGACTTTGACACTATTAACTCACTGTGGCAGTCTTGTAAATCTGTACTTATTTTTAGATTTCTGAGCATGTCTGCAGGGGATACAAAATGGAACTTTAGATATAGAATGTTTTTCAGATTGGCAGTACATCACAAGGTAAAGCTGCTTTGTCACTCAAGCCTGGATGTCATGGATGCTCTGTATGACATAGCAAGAGGGACTTTTCTTGCCATGCATATTCTACTGTGGCTTGTGACTCCTTGGAAACAGGCATTTTCTTTGTTTTCATGTCATATGGATCAGGGGACATGTCTTTCATATTAACACTGCCATGATAAGGGTGCAGCCAATCTTATATCTGATACCTCATACCCAGTAACCAACCCTCTACCAGTTTCTACAATCATAATTTGTATTCTCTTGATATTTGCAATCTTGCAACTGTGGCAATATCTTTAGAGATGAGTGCCATTTCTACCGTGCCTGTTAGAAGCTCTATCCTGTAACACACAAGCTGATACACAACAGAACAGAACACCCAGCATGTCCTGGCAGCTCACTGCCTTCCTGCTGCCAACACTGAAGGTGCTAAAAGTTTATTTACTTTTCTGCAGTCTGAAGAAAACACCTATTTGTGCTATACACCAAAACATGAACTTACTTATATAACTGGGAAATGAAGCAGGCACTAGCTGAGCCATGTGGTCAGTGAGCAGGGGTGTTGGCAGCCTTCTGTAATTTCTGCTGTGTGTTTTGTCCTTTCCTATGCTCAGTTCATGGTTGAGCAGTCAAATGGAGGCAATTACTGAACACAGTTCAGGGATGGCAGGAAAAGGTTAATTGAAAGGTATCTGCTGTTTCCTTCCGTTCAAATGCTAGCATTTTGTTTAATGACAACCACTTGAAAAAATATTTGTTTTAGAAAAAAAGAATGCTGCCAAAATAAACTACACTGATCTGTATTTATGTTTTGGTAGGAACTCTAGGCCACTCTTGAAGGTAAATGGTGAATTGCTTTACTGGCCACAGCAAGTTAATAATGAACAGCACATTAGTGCAGGTTGGAATAAAAAAGTGCTGGCATTTGCTTGTTCTCCCTCTGCCTAGCTGAGGCTCCTCTGACAGTAAGCAGGAGAATGTAACCAAACACTGTGATTGACATTGCTACACAGGGAACTGGGCAATGCTTGCTTGGGCCAATCTTGTCTTCAACCTGCCTCCCTATTTCTCTATTACCAGAAAAATTTGACCCATTTGTCCTAAAAGTTATAAAGGAAGCTCACACACTTATTTATCAATATTTATATAAGAATGATGGCAAGAAGGGTCAGCTGGTTATAAAGATTCAGCCACAAGATGGAGCCAGTACAGTACCAGGCACACCTTCCCAGTGGGACAAAGTGTTAGGCTGCTTTTTCTCTAAATCCTTCAGCAGTTTTAATAGGACTGTTCACTTCTCAGTTACTGAGATAGCCTTGGAGAAAATAAAAATCCATTGGAGAAAACAAAAATCAGAAATATCTAGTATTTAGGGTACAGAAATCACATATAGCCTGTTCCAACCTACAAATGAAATGTACAGGTAAGTTGGTTACCAAACATAAACATCAGTGATGCTTTTTCTTGAGTCTAAATAAAACTAGTCTTTCCTATAAATCCCTGCATTCTCCGGGGGTTTACAGAATTAAATGACATAAGGGAAAAAAGGAAGGAAAGATGAAGAAGAGGGGGAAATTACAGGGTGGCAAATAAGGCCTTTGAGTTAATCTTACAGAATCAGGTGTATCAATACAAGTAATAAATCAGCAGAGGCAGCTCTAGCAGTTGCCACAGTGAATTTAAAAATCCCAGTGTGAAGAGCAGGAAGACAGGGGTTGCTTTGTATGTTCTCCTTCCAGCAATCTTTGTAGACACTTTTTAGATAAGTTACTAAAAAGATATGTGTCAAGTGTCAGGTTACAGTGTATAAACCTGTGCTCTGATAGTCACAGAACATCTGTTTTTTCTTGTTATTACTGTTCTTCTTTTCAGTCTCCTTCAGTTTCAAAGTTATGCTAGACTCATATTAATCACAATAAAAGCTTTTATTTGTGTCCTTCTCAGAAAATTTCCATGACCAACATTACTCTTTACTTTGTAAATTCATCTCAATATTGCAAAAAGAATCAGCTCTTTAGTATCTGTCTTCATATAATTCCAGAGAATAATTTGATGCCCTGTTGCATTTTGCCCTGTGTATAATAGGCTGGCTACCACAGCAAGTCAATCCTAATCAAAACTGGTTCCAATTTAATTTTTCCTAGAGTATTGCTTTGCTATGGAAATCTGTAATTCACCTCTGAAACAAAATTAAACTCGCCTTCTGTGAAAATCCCTAGGTAACCTGCTGGTCATTCCTGATAGCAGATGCATTCTGAATATGGCCAAGCTTTTAATTTGTATAGTATGTCTAGCCTGATTCATAAGAAAACACTAACAAGTTGAAAGTATTTTTACCATCAATTAACTAACTTTGGGTTTGCTTGCCCCTATAATAAGATATTCCTGTTTTTGAAGTGGGAACAGCAATTCTGAAATGTCTTTGGGGATCCCAATAAAGAATCAGTTGAACTGGCAATTAATTGCACAGATAGATACGATCATCTGACTGGCTGAACAGGAGAAGGACAGTCCCATGCTTGAATCCACTGCGGGAATCCACAGCTCAAGAAATCATTTGATACCTTGGAATGGATCTGAGAAGAGATATAGAAACAACTTAGAAATTGAAAAATGTGTTTTATCAAATGCTGTTACTTAAAAGGATGCTCTCGTGTCTGTAGTGAGTCCTATGGTCTCCTCCATCTTACAGAGACAGAGGAAACAACAGCTGAAAGGTAAAATTAAATACATTAATGGGAGAAATTATGAGAGTAATTAATGACTGGAACAAGGAATTAACAATTTGTGTAGACAGGATGTTCTAAGGCATGTTTCCCTAAGGGTTGTTCTGGTTTAAATGACAAGTAATATCACCAGTCACATGGCTTCTGTCCCACGGTGAGCTGTACCACATGTTTACAATAATCCTCTGGCTCTATTTATCTGTGAAATGATAGAATATGCTTGTGCTGGATGCCCTAATCTGGGCAGGATAGAAAATGAAGATGGAAATATAAGTCTGGATTTTAAGATAAGAAATACATCTCTTAGAATAAAGGAAAAAAAAAAAAAAAAAAAAAAAAAGGAAACTGAACAATCCCAATACAGAAAAAGCTTGAATCCCTGCCTCTAGCCAACTGTTTTGCATATATAGGCAAGCATATGCAGAATGTGTTTCTACAAAACACATATCAACAGAAATTTAATCTCTGCTTTTCTATGGCACACAAAACACAAATTAAACTTCCCAGATAAGCAACAGCTGGCCAAGAGTCAGCCAGGGAGTTGATAGCTGCATGAAATATATGACAATCCTACATTAGGATGGAGTTTTTAACATGTATGTATACATTGAAACGCTTATGTAGTTCTCTTTATTCTACTACCTTTCCTTTTCCCTCAGAAAAAGGTATCTTCTGCTTTCTCTTCTGCTAAGTACAGAAAATCCCTACTAGCATCTGATTTTGTGATTTAAATGCTATACTATTCATCAAGTGCAATTAGTTTCTATGTGTTGTTGTGCTGGTTTACTGTGTTGCCACTCCTGTTTGCATGCTAAATATTCCACTGTACTGTGTAATTTACTTACCAGGAGTGAACAGCTGGAAAACTGATGATGATGTTTCCAGCCTCCTGGTAAAGTGCAGTCTGCTCCTTGTCTACAATCCCAATGTTTCATGCTGGAGGCACAGCCTCCAGTCCTCTCTGCATTCAGAATCACAGCCACTGTCAGGGAGGGGCTAGAACAGTTCTGTCTGTTCAGTCTCTGGAGATGATCTAGACATCACCCCTTGCAAAGGAGCTTGAGATTGCTTCAAAGAGCTACTGCTTCTTTTTCAAAGAGGAGCGAGAAGTTACAGAACTAACAGACAGGACCTGTGAATCCTGCTGTTCCAGAGGTTGTAATTGGTTGTGCCAGATACAAACAAAATGAAATAATTACAAATTCTCTCATTAGAAAAACATTGTTGTAAGTTTTAGAGATACACACAGGTATTTCCACACTGCAATTGTCTGTTCTGCTCTTGAGTCTCTTGACAGACTTTCACAAAGCAAACAACCAAAGCCGTAAGGAAATGGTGACACAACCAGGTTTCCCCACTTACACAGACTGGCCACAGTCCCTGAAGCTGCCTCTGCTTTTGAGGACATCTCTCCACAGCTTGGTTAGTACAAAAAGCACATTTCAACAATAAATACAGATGTCACTTGTTCTCACAATCACCATTTTCATTACTGTGCTTATAGCATGATGATTCTTTTGTGGGCCTTATATTTTTGTTTAAAGACTAAAAGAAGTATAAAACAAAACTAAACTTACTGTTATCATGTAGATATTCTACTGAAAGCTGATACTAAGTGATTTTAAAAAACGAATTCAGGGGGAAAAGATAATAAAATTTAACCTAGCAACTAAAGCATGCTGATGCTTCAAGGGCATGTGTACTGGCTAATTCCCTGATGAACCTCTCTGCTCTAGGTAGGACACTTGTATACCTGTCAGTCTGAATGTTAGGAAAGTTTAATTAACATCTGGTTTTGGTATTTCAAAAGTCACACAAGAGATAAAGTAGATCTTCCATAGTAATTATGGGCATTAACAGAGCAATTCAGATTTTGCAGATGACAAATTGCCCTCCAGTGGTGTGTATTTCAGCCCACTGACAGAGGAAACATACATTCTCCTAAATTAGGTATCTGGAGCTCTGGGTGATTCTGACTTTTTTCCACATCACATCCATTTATATGTATATGAGCAGATGTCTACATCACATAAAAATCATGATACAGATTTGTTTGATTCATAGCCCCCAAACAAATCCTTTTCCTATTCTCCACTTGATGAAAGCTTGAGACATCAAAGTGTTTCAGGACAGCTGATCACATCCTTTGTATTCCCTGATCCACTGGAGATGCAGCTTCTCTGCATCTTTTCGGGGTTTGCAGGTTTTATGTTGGCATAATTGGTACAATTTAATAGATGTACTGATTTCAGAAAGCACCCCAAATGAAAGGAATTTATTTGTTCACCTGAAATACCTCCCTACAAGGCAGTTCCAGACAAGTAACTAAAATACACTGTGACAAATACCAGTGTAACTTATGTCCTAACAACAAGCTGGCTTACAATTAATGCATAATGTTGTATTTTCATATTATATAATCAGAACTTTGGTATTAATTTTGTCAGCTATTTCTACATTACAGCATTTAGACCAGTTGCTGCCATGTCCCAATAAAAAAGATGCATTTTTCTTTTCCTTGGAAAACTTTGGAGAACACGTTACAAACGTGAGTAATTGAGAACACAAGATCAGATTTTTTGTTTTCCATTACTAAGCTTGCATTTATAGCAAACACATAGGAAAGTAATTAAAATATTTTTTAAAAAATAATGTTTCATTCTTTTAGTGGTTTTCTTTCAGCTAACACAAGACAATCTAGAGTTTGAAATTCTAAGACCAAATGATTTTTAAAGTTTGGTTAAAGTCTCCAAACTTTTGAGACTTAACTTATCCTAAAGAAGCAAAGGAAGTAGTGATGCAAACATTGAGATGCATCACTACTTCCATAATTTCTTCCACGCTTTTAAAGTTATTTCACTATCTCAGCCACTGACTACATGCAGTGCCCTGAAGTACATCACACCGTATTGGAGGTGCATTCATACAAGCAACCTTAACCTGCTACCACTGACTGCATCCTTGACATGTCTTTATCTTCAAAAAAAAAAAAAAAAAAAAAAAAAAGAAAAGCATGAAAGGATGGTATCTAACAGTGCAGCTTGTGTATTTGTTACTAGGGAAACAAACAGCAAAGAGAAAGAAACCCTCAGTGTCCTTGTCATTTGGATCTTTCAGTAGAGAAGCGGAGCTTGTGTTGAAACAATGGAAACACTGTTCAGCTTTCAGGATCCTTTGCTGTCCTCACTGAATGACAGACACTTCTTTCTCCCCGTTGTCCATCTTGTCATCTCTGAAAAGGAGAGTAATTTCTACATTCTGCACTGGATTGCTGGTTGTTTTTTTATTCACCATGTCAACTTTAATCCCCGATCCTCTGTAACCTGGTCAGTTTTTAACACCCAAACCAAGATTGCAGCAGGTCTCTTAAGGTAAATGGAAGAGAGAACCCTGATGTTGTACTCATAGCCATAGAAAAGCAGACACAGCAGCACCAACAGTGCCAGGTTGGTGCTATTTGAGTTTGTACTGAATCAGAGTTCAAACTCAATCAGGACTTCAGAGAGGTGAGGGGTACAGCAGCGTTTGCTGCACTCCAGCACGAGGAGCCGTGCAGCACTGAAGGCCTGTGTGACAGCAGTGCCCCCAGCCCCGAGGCTGTGGGCTGTGTGGAGCTTTGCCACCATTCCCAGGGAAGCAGGGAGATGCCAGGCCGTGTCAGTCATGACTGACACCTCTGGTTTCAGCCAGCTGAGACGTGTCAGTCACGGCTCGGCTGGACTGACACCTCCCTGTGTGAGTTGGGAGGACAACTCAGACATCAACACTGTTTGTACCGTGACTTTCTGCTCATTGCTCAATATGCACTGTATCAGATCCCATGTAATTTTTCTATCAAACTATGCTATATCCTTGCTTCTTTTTCTGTTCCCATTATTATGTTGTTCATCTTTAGCTTTTCCCTCATCTAACTCATCTTGTGGGAACTGGATTAGGAAACTGGATTTGGTGCACTCTGAAGTGTAGCTAAGTAAATCCAAAGGATTATCACCTTTCTCCTGTTTTTACAAGACTACAGCTACCAGCACCAGAGCTAGAGAGATGATGGGAAAATTACAGTAAAAGCCCTGCTGGAAATACTCTCACAGATTTTTGTGTCCTGCTGTTTCAACAAAGCATATTTCTTCTTTACTCTGCAAGTGTGGCTTTTTTGTACTGTTCCACACTGGTTGTAAATTTGCCATTAAGAAGGAAGAAGGATATGACAAAACACCCAAAATGTATTATAATAAATATCAACACTTGAATTATATTTAAAAATGGATAGGCAGAATAAAATCAACTAGCACATAGTTTATTGATCATAGCCACTAGCTGAATTGTAATGGATTCCTTATCCCCAGTATTCCACAAAGTACTAAGACCCCTTGGGTAAAGAAATCAAACCACTTGATAAAGATTAGGGAAAAAAGAAAACTATGTCAGGACTGACAAGAAAAGGAAGTGACAATCATGTTATTGATGGTGTGTGTTTGTAGCACCACAGCAGAGCCCTGCCTGCCGGTACAGTGTCAATGACAACTTCGTCACAGGCTCCAGCAGTTTGTGCCCCTACACTCTGTCCGTGGAAATAAGAACAGCCAAAATAAACCAGGGGTGGCTTTTATTGACTTTTTAAAGAAAAACACTGTCATTGCCAAAAGACCTCAAATACTTGGGAAACTACTTGTATGTGAGTTGTGTTTTGGCTCCCTTATGTTGAAAATTGTTCTTTTACACCATAAAACCTGTGTATCTTTTCTCCATGAGCAATGAGCTTTCCACAAACTCTCTCTTTGGAATCAAGTGCTCCAACCGATCCTCCTTGTCTTTCAGCCTCTAACGGGCCTTTTTTTCCTTAGATTTTCTACAGCATTTAAGTTTTACCAGACTAGTGCCACCTCCCAGGGTTTTAGTAAACCCTGCAGAAAGGCGGAGGACAAATGCTTTCTGGTGTGAGAACGCACTCTGAGCAATCCGACATAGCCGATTGCGGGCTTTTCATGTGGAAACCGCACCCGGCGATGAATCCATGAACCGAGCCGGCTGCTGCGGCGGGGCTGCATTACCTGGCGATGGTTCCGTTCCCGTTCCCGGTCCCGCTCCCGTCCCGCCGCTTCTCCCCTCAGGGCGGGCCCGCCTCAGCCCTCAGCGGCCGCGCGCCGCCCGTTTCCCGCCGCGCGCCGCCGCGCGCCCCCCGCCGGGAGCGGGGCTGAGGGGGGGGGGCGCTCGCGGCACGCGCCCAGCGGCACGCGCACCCCCCACAGCACCCCCCGCCCTCCGCCCCGCCGCGCGCACAACGGCCGGCGGGGGGCGGGGCGAACGGGGGCGGAGACAACGCCGCCGGCACGCCCCCTCGCTCGCGCCCTGGCCCCGCCCCCTCGCTCGCGCCCTGGCCCCGCCCCCTCGCTCGCGCCCTGGCCCCGCCCCCGCCCCGCGGCCCCGTTCCCTCCTCCACAGAGCCGGGGGGGAGGAGGGAGGGGCGCGCGCCACTTCTGCCCGCCCCCCCCGAGAGGGGCGGGGCCGGGCGCAAGGGGCGCGCGCGCGCGGGCGCGAGGGCGCGCGGCGATTGGCTGGCGGCAGGAGGGGGGAGCGCGTTTAACGGCCGCTGCGCCCCCGGGCCGGGGCAAAGCAAAACAAAGGCGGCGGCGGTGGGAGCGGGAGCCCGGGCGAAGCGCACGGCGCGGGCACGGCACGATGCCTCGGCCGCCCCTCGGCCCGCAGCGCGGCACACGCGCGCCCGACCCCCGTCTATGACCTCCCCCTTCCCCCCCCTCGGTGGCCGCCGCCGAGACGGTACCTTCGAGGCGAGGGAAGCCGTCGTGTACCCCCACCCCTCCCTTGATCGCCCCCTCTTTGTTTTTCGGTGAAGGCCCGGCGCGGAGCTCTCGCTGCCCGCCGCGCAAGGACCGGGGGTCCCGCCTTCCCTCCTACCCGCGGCCCCTAAGGGAGAGGGGCCCGGGGGCTGCTCGGAGCCCGGGCTGGGAGCGGAGTCGGCGCGGCGCAGCGGTGAGTACCGAGCGGGTGAAAAGCGGCCCCTCTTCCCTGTGCCGGGATTTATTTTTTTGGAGAGGCGGGGGGGTATGGGCGGAAGGCGGCTGTGAGAGGGGATCCGTGGTGCGCCGCGGATGGGGGGCCGCCGTCTCCCGTGTGCGCGGGGCCACCGAGGCAACTTTGCTGGCGGGAGGAGGCTCGGGCGCTATTTATAGAGCCTGGAAATGACGGCAGCGCTGTCTGCCCGCAGCCTTCTCGGTGCGGGGTGGGTAAGGGCGGTTTACATAATTGAGGGGGGGCGAAGCTGAGCTCGACGCGCCGGGAGCCGGTGGGGTCCCCTCGCGCTCTCGCCCGCGCCGCGCGGGGCCGGGAGCCGTGGGCTTGTGCACGGGGCTGGCGGCCGCAGCAGCGTTGGGGCCGTGTTCGGGTGGCCGCGCGGCCGTGCCGGTGGCCAGAGCGGGGAACGAGCCGCTGTCCTGCTGGAATCGCTGCGGGGGTTACAGAAAACGCGACGGCGTCACCCGCCCCGGTAGCTTCGTGCTCAGGCGTGAGAGGCTTTGAAGTCGCAGAGCCAGCGGTTCCCTCCCGCAGGGGCAGCGGGGTGTCAGCCGGTAACTTTCTCCGCGCTTATTTTCTCCTGTTATTTCCTGGTACGTAAAGGTGAAAATGAGGCTCCTGAGGCTCAGTCTTTAACCTGGAGGTTTTTCCCTGCCGGAGTAAGCTCACCGTAGGTTACTGACAGTGCGCGCACAGGCTGCGTCCAGCTTTTTGCAGCTGCTCAAAGACTCTTTGAGCGTATTTGGTGTCGCTTCTTCCTTAGCGCCCCGCAGGAAGGACGGAGAGGCCGATTCCCGGCAGAGCTCCTGCCGTGCCAGGCGCGGGATCCCCACGCGCGGCGGCAGCCGCCGTTCCCCGGGCGGCGCGGGGCCCGTGCGGGGCCGCCCCCCCGCCACGCTCCTCGGGGTGTTTGTTTACACATCCGGGGCCCGCGCGGGGCGGGCCTGCCCCGCCCATTGGCCGCCCCGCGCCCCGCCCCGGTGACGTCACGGGCGGCGGGACCGGGCCCTCCTCGCCCGGCCCGGGGGGTTCGGGGTGCGGGGCGGCCCCGGGAGGAGGCGGAGATCGCCGTGCCCGGCTCCGGGACAGCCCTGCGCCGGTAGGTGCGGACACAAGTAGAGATTCAGGAGACACCTGTCTATGCGCAGGACCAAAGCGTGGACTGTGCCGCGGCCAAACAACGGGAGAGAAATCGTTCGTTCGGGTGTTTGCGCTGTTCTGTGCGGAATAATGAGCAGCAGCTCGAGGAACTGCTCCTGACCATGAGAGGGGAAGTGAGACTCTGTTTACTCACCATTGTTAGAGCCAGCTAGGAAATGGTTTGTTTTGATCTGTGCCTGTAACGGCACAACCACTCTGTGGTTCCTATGGTGTGTATCAGAGTCGTCTTTTTGAAGAGAGCAATATCGAATATAGTTTTGTTAAATCGGCCTTGGAATTATTTCAATTTCTGTAGTTGAAGAAGCTGGTACACTGAATGTGGAAGAGTCCAGACTGCCTTTAGATATGTGAATTAAAAACACTTATAGGAATGCCCTGAAGACAAATATTTTCCTTTTACGTTCCAGAGCACAGAATTGCTAAGGTTAGAAAAGATCTGTAAGATTGAGTTCAACTATTAATCCAGGACTGCCGAGGCCACCACTAAGCCACATCCCCAAGTTCCACATTTACACCTACTGAACCTCTGCAAGAATTGAACTAGTGTTCCAATTACTGATGGAAAGGGTTTAATTTAAGCCAAAGTCAAAACATCTTAGCATGTGGTGTCTTTAATTCTGAAATGCTGTTTTGTTCTGGCTTTGTCTATTTCTGTTAACCTAAATAGGATCTGTATCTAACATCGAGTTCAAACAGGGAATTTAACAGAAACCTCATGTTCTTGGATCACTTTTCTTGTGTATCTTACTTCTAATAAATGGGGTTTCATATGTAGCTGTTCTACAAGAGCGAACTGTTCTCTGCAAATGATATAATTATTCTTCCTTGTGCAGTTTAATTAAATTATCTTGGGACACTAAGTACGCAATATTTGTTTAAATTGCTATTAATATTTAAGTCCTGCTCTTCATGCCAAATGAGTTAATATTTCAAACATATAAATGTATCATTTATCAGTTGTTTTCCCAGTCATTCTCATGTGTAGATCCATGCTTTGGATGCCAGTTTGTTCCTATTGTTGCTTTATTTTTTTGGTTTGCCTTTGGTGTGTTACGTGTCTTGTTTGTGGCTTATCTCTTCCTTTGCAATTCTTTGTGTAAGAAGTGTTCTTCTAGCAAGCTGTTCAGTAGTTTGCATTTTCTCCTGCTTAAGATTAAAAAATCTAAACCGAAACCCCTTTAAGTTTGCTGTGCTTGTCTCATGTGCTAGCCCTGCAGTACAGATTGCTTTCTCAAGGCTTCTTTTGAAGCAGTGACTGCTTCCTATAAGCATACTTTCATTTATGTGGCTTGCACTATCTGCTCTAGCTGTGTAACCAGCATGCTATTGCTAGAAGAGTGGTTAATGCTGCCCTGCACACAGCTTACAACTGTGATAAGCCATTTGCATGCTCTTAGCTGGATCAGCAAACTGTAAAATCTTTATAATGTCTCTCTTTGCTGTTTGTGCTATTGACCTACTCAGGCAGTCACCTGACAGCTGATGACATAAGTTGACTGTGCAGTGTTTGGAGCGCTCATTAGCGTGGTGCTTGCATAGCCTGGGAGCTGCTGCCTCGGATGGACCAGGAGATGTTATCAGAGTTTAGCATCTGCTTTGTTTTCAGACAAACTAAAAAGGTTTGCTTTCCAGCACAGCAGAAAGCTCTGGCGTGCTCTGACATGTAACATCTCTGAAATGCACTCTGAGGATTAAGGATGCATTTGGGTGTTCTCTGTGCAGAATTTAGCTTCAGTATCAGATGGTGGGTTTGGTAGCTTCCATTAAGGCTATTCTGGTACAGTGAGGAAGTACTTAATTAGCTTTGATCAGGACACCAGTCAAGAAGGTCTTTGCCTAAAGGCATAATTCTGCAGAGCTTGAAAGAGTAGTCATCGGATCAGATCCTTGAATAGGGTGGCAGTGTCTTACTTGGTATTTGACTTAAAGCCAGATGTGATCCTGCAAGATTTTTGCTGAAAACCAAAGTGCAAATATATAAAATATATTGACTGTTGGACAGAACAAGTTGCTTTCCCTGTTGCTCACTGTATTGGAACTGACCATTAGAACTTCAAACACAATTAACTTCCTCTCATTCCCTACCTTTTTAGTGTGATTTTCTGCATGGGTGTCTTAAAGAGTACACCTGGTATAATGTAGAAAGTGCTTGTGTTTCGTGGAGAACTGTTTGAATCTCGTCCCTCATTAGAAGTGTGATGGAGTAGAAGCCATTAGCAGAACAGAACTGCTTTTTGCTGTGTTGAATGGAACTTGAACTGTGCAGTTCCTTAGAAAAAGGGGCCTGTAGTGCAGCCAGGCTCCAGTTATTTGCTCCAAATAATGCTTTGCTTTATGGCTGGACTTGTTGAATAACAAGTTAACTCTGGTCTTGTAAGCTGCTAATTGTTCTGCTCTTTTCACCTACAGGTTGTGACTGTTTCTCTTCTGTCATTTGTGTGGAAAGTGCCACACACACTCCAGAACAACAACGGCTTTTGCTTGCATATTCCAGTGTTTCTTTTGTCAGCGAGTTCAGCAAAGTTGTAATTCTTCAAGTGCCAGCCCTGAGCTGAGTGAGGAGCCACCAGCAGAGATGGTAAAAATGACAAAATCAAAAACGTTCCAGGCTTACCTGCCAAACTGTCATCGGACCTACAGCTGTATCCACTGCAGAGCCCATCTCGCCAATCACGATGAATTGATCTCCAAGGCAAGTGGTTTCTTTAGAGACCTCATGAATTATTTCTTAACCAAAATGGTTGTCACTGTGACACCGCTGCCAGTAGATAAGGGATGCAAATTGATGCATACTTCAGAGTATCTTCCCTGAGTTCACTCTTGGGTCATACATGTGTACTAAGAACTGGATATATTCTGGAAGCTTCTGAATGTGACATAAAGGTTGATCTAATATATTCCCCATGTTAACAACCTGTGTCTGCTGTCAGGTGGGTACTGTTTGTGAGCTATTATATCTGAAAAGTCTGCCAAGGA